AGAGGTATTGCTTGCTTGTTTGTTTGTTTGTTTGAGTAAAAAAAGATGAACGCAAACACACATGTGTATGCTTATGCATATACACACACACATACAAGTATGCACACACAATCACATATACACAAACAAACACAAGCAAAAAGGTACAAACACACACACACAAACATTAACATACACACAATCACAAGAACACAAACATAAACACTACCACAATCACACACACACAAATATATACAAACAAACAAACAAACACACACACACACACACACACACACACACACACACACACACACACACACATACACACACACACACACTGACACAGTGCTAATCAAAGCTCGTCACAACCCACCTGGCAGCCATGATATTGTCCAGCCTATCCCTCCACACCACCATGACGGCCTGCATGGTCGCCCTCCGTCGGTCTCCCGCCATCTTGTCTGCCATCTCCGCCAGCCCCACACAGTACTCCGCCTTCCAGCGCATGTTGGAGAAGGCGCTGTGTAGTACACGCGTGTTCACCTTCTTCGTCATGTGTGCTTGCAGCTGACGCAGGTAGCGCGTGTTGCGTGTGTACATGTGCCACTCTCGGAGAACTCTGAGGACAAGAAAATTTTTTTTGTTGGAATAACAATAAGAATGCAAAATAGAATGTCTCCGCAAAACCCTTCACATTACAAGACAAGACAGGCAGAGAAATGAAGAAATAAGAGCAGCTATCGGCACTGAGTCCTGCCTGCATTACATAGAAAGACAGAGGATAAACTGGTTTGGCCACTTGTTACGCATGTCATCTGACCAGCCAGCCTCAAGAGCCTACAACACCAAGCACTCAGGCTAAAAAGGAAGAGGAAGGACACGTAAAAGTTGGATTGAGGGAGTCAAGGAAGAAAACCCGAGAAAACATAATATCACAATTGAAAGAGCTGCGGAGCTGGCCTACCATAGAAAACTGCATCTCCCCTCAATGTTTAATGGCAACAGAGGATGAAAAAGTAAAAAGTAAAAGTAAGTAAGTGTAATAAAAATAATAATGACAGTTTGTCTGTCAATGTCTGACGATGACCATTGCATCTGCAGAGGAGAATATTTCTCAAGCAAAATTGGAGAATTAAAGTTTAAGAAGACTTCTGGCTTCTGCTATGGCTAATGAGACCAATTCTGGCAGAGAAAAGTTGGCCACATTTTAAACCTTCAAAATCTCCACTGCCACTTATGGGTACATGCCATTTGCCAGATTCTCTTTTTGTTTCAGCATTTTTTATTCGTGAAATATGACTTGTTGCACACTGTGATTACTGCTCTCCAACTGTGTCTGTCAGAAGCTAGATTCTCCCATGTCAAAAGATATAAGCTGAGTCCCATAATTGGTAGATGAGTGCAGTATGTTTGTTTCGTTTTGCTTTCCATACAACAGTTCTTTTACAACAACCTTTGCTCCTGCTCTTTGTATACCCAATCCTGCCATCCTAAGACATAGCGAGGGATCTGACCCAAAAAAAATCGAGCTTTGTAGTTTTATTGGTTTGTTACATATATGCCTTGCCCACATTCTTCTTGTGTCAATGGCAGGACAATGTTTATAGATCTAGATGCAATCTATTATTATTTTTTATCATTATTATCATCATCATTATTATTATTATATTATTACTATTATTATTATTTCTACATTTCAACTGCTTAACCTTATCCGTAAGCTGTGTTTTACTATCGCATCAATACAATGTGGGGAACTCTGTGCCGCCACTTTCCAAAGAGGAAATTTACTCGTTAATCCGATCAGTACGCTTTGCATAGCAGTCTGTCAAAATGATTTTTTGAGAAATGCTGAAAGTTTCAAAGAGATCTTCACATTAGAAGTATTCTAAAATGTGAAGAATACAACCCAAGGGGTACAAAATGACCCCAGGGCGTACAGATATGGTTAACATATTTATAATAATAGTATCTTGATCCTGAGATCTAAACACTAAAAAGAAAAATCACCAGAGTGAAGTGGAAATTAGCTTTTTGTCGCTTCTGAAAAACTGTTTTTGACAGACATCCATATTTACAGAATTGCAGTGACGATTTGCCTAGCGTCTCACCTGATCTGTATCCTGGTCTCCACATTGTGCTGCACTGACCGCTTGACCAGTGTGAGAGCCGACCAGTACTGGAAGTACACGTGGAGACTGCGTTCTTGTAGAGCTTTCTTCAGGGCCAGACCCCGAATCCTGCGCTCTTTGTTCACTAAGCAGAGAGTACATCGTTCAGTGTGTCATAAAACGTGAGACGCAAAATTCAATTTTTAAGTTTATAGTACAGAAAGCATCAGCAAGTTTCAGTTAAATTAATCTTTAAAAATAGAATGACTCTTTATAGGATTAACATTTATTTTAAAAACAAAGATCTCTATAGGCCAACATTTTAATATATTTACGCAAAAGAACTTTTTGGTGTGGAAATGACAGGAACTTCCACCCCCAAAAATAAATTGAGATGAATACGTATTTACAAACAGCATGCAAGGGAAGTAAAAATTGAAAACATTCATATTCAGTCAACATTTAGCATGCACTTCTCTTACCTCTCTAAACTAATACTTAAACCTTTGATAATGCTGCCTTTAATCTTTTAACTAAAACTTTAACCTCATCTTTAACTAACCTTTAGCATAGATCCTTCCACCCAAACCATACAGTTTAGAAACATCTATAATATGTACTTTTCTGCCACTCTAACTAATACTCAAACCTTTGATAATGTTGCCTTTAACCTTTTAACTAAAACAAAACTTTATCCTAAGCCTTTGACTAACCTTTAGCATAGACCCTCCACTCCGACCACACAGTACAGAGACAGATATACTTCGATAACTCTTACTACTCTAACTAACACCTTAACCCTTTTACTAACCTTTAAACCTTTGACCAACCTTTAGTACAGACCCTCCACTCCTACCACACGGTGTAGAGACAGCCGTATGCACTCCTCAAACTACTCCAACTAACACTTAAACTTTAAACTAACCCTTGGCATAAACCCTTGACTTTACCCACATGGTGTACAAATAATGCTGAGTGCAGTCTTTGACTAAAACTTTATTTAACCTAAATCTTTGACTAACCTTTGGAACAGACCCTCCACTCAGACCACACTGTGTACAGATAACGCTGTGTGTAATCTTTTAACTAAACCTTTGACTAACCTTTAGCACAGACCCTCCACTCAGACCACACTGTGTACAAATAACGCTGCGTGTAGTCTCTCTTGGCCTGATCAGCCACCAGCTGTGTCCTCCACACCTTCAGTGAGCGTGTCATAACGCGCGCATTCCTCTGACGGTTCCAGACTTCCAGCGTGTCATATAGAGACTGGACACTGTCCAGAGATTTTTGCCAGTTGTTGAAGTACAGCGCCATCTGGTGGACAACAGAGATGTGGATAGTTGAGGAAAGTTTGGATTTTTAGACTTGTTACTCTCGAGTGATGACTGGGTCATTGTGTGTATGTATGTGTGTGTGTGTGTCTGTGTGTATGTGTGTGTGTATGTGAGTGTATGTGTGTGCATCTGTGTTCCTGTGTGTGTGTGTGTGTGTGTGTATGTGTGTATGTGTGTATGCGTGTGCATCTGTGTGTTTGTGCCTGTGTGTGTGTCTGTGTGTGCCCATTAGGGCTGGATCCTGCTCCTCAAATTTGAGAGTGGCGATTCGCGATTCAGTCGGCTTCAATGAATCGCGAGTACGCGAGCGCTCGTGGAGCTGTGGCAGAACACTGACTGAAACGGAACAGTGTCATATCAACGCCTCTTGGCGAGCGCGAGTCCCACTATTGCTGTTCCGCCATCCTCTCCGCCCCACACCCTTTGTTGCGCTGCTCTATCAACTGACCTCAATTAGTGACCCCCATAAATCCCCCCCCCCCCAACCCCACAATTCCCTAAAACAATGGCTCCATAAAATTCCTTCTGTCTATTGGTTGGACCCCGTTCATTTTGTTTTAATAGGGGGGTTGGACTATACCATCTTTTGTAAAATAAGGGGAGCCATACCAAGTGCTCCGTTCCGTTCTTGCGCTCGTGACTCGACTCAGCAGTAGGTTAAACAAGCCACAAGGTGATGACAGCGACAGGGGAGTGAATCGGGAATCGTTTGGCAATAGCCTACTGTTCCGCGTTCCGCTGAAGTGAACTGTGAATCGCGTTCCGCAGGAAAGAGTGACGATTCAGTTCCGTTCTCGCGCTCGTGACCCAGCCCTAGTGCCCATGTAAGTGGAGGATTGCGTGAATATGGCATAATCGGTATGTGTGTGAGAAGCAAATTCACGGAACAATGTTAAAGCCCTTTATAAATCAACTTTTAAAAAGATAACCAAACCCCCCACAATTCTAGGCAAGAAAACAATAAAGTTCAACAGTCAATAAAGTTTCAAACTATTATTAACTCTTTCTTTTTTCAAATAATTTTAATAGTTTAAATTCTTATTGACAAAATTTAGATCATTTAAAAGGTGGGCAAGAGATCTTGCATTCAAGCACCCTGGCAAAGATACAGGAAATAAAGAACTTCTTAATTTTAATATATGAGATTCAAGCCATTGAAGTTTCAAATAATTAACATTATCTTTTTTTTCCGCCAGACCACTGACCTTGCGATGCTGAAACATGACCTTGACCCTTGCACCCCGGGAGGTCTGTGCCTTCCTCCTCCACACAGCGGCAAGTTCTAGGGCCGACCTCTCGGCCCGCCACACACGCTCCTGTTGCACCTGTCGGCGACGCTGGTAGCAGGCCAGCCATTGGTGGAACAGTCTCTGTACCTAGGGATGGGACACGATTGTTCTGGATTGTATGTGATTGTAAAGGGCTATTTATGATTGTACAGGGTTGTACATGATTGTACAGGGTTGTACATGATTGTTCTGGATTGTATGTGATTGCACATGTTTTTACGGTCCTGTACAGCCAAGAAAATTGTTCCTCTGGGATAATAAAGTATTATCTTATCTTATCTTATCATATCTTATTTTATCTTATTGTAGAAGACTGTTTATGATTGTACACGATGTACAGGGTTGTACATGAATGTAGAAGATTGTATGTGATTGAAGAGGACAGTACATGATCGTATGAAACTAAAGATGATTGTATTAGATTGTAAAGGACTGTACATTATTGTACAGGGTTGTATTTGATTGTACCTGATTGAACGGGACTGTTTATGATTGTTCTGGGTTGTACATGATTGTAGAAGATTGTATGTGGTTGTAGAGGACAGTACATGATTGTACAGGGTTGTATTTGATTGTACCTAATTGAACGGGACTGTTTATAATTGTTCTGGGTTCTACATGATTGTACATGATTGTAAGTGATTGTTCATCGACACAATGGCAGTCATCTTGTGCCGGGAAATAGTAAGAGACAAATGGACAGAAACAAGAGAGGAAAATAAAAGAAGTAGGATGCCCACTAATCACCTGCACCGAGTGATGTCTCAAACAATAGAGCAACTGCTTTCAAAGCAGCTGAATGTTTTTACAACTCGGACATAGGACTCTTTGAACTTAAGGCTGCAATAGGTAGTTTTCAAAAACCATCGAGATAGAATCTTTTAAGAATAAAAATAACCTGATTGTTTCACTTGTTTTAACCCCCGCCCCGGCAAAAAAAAGAGATTAGCAAGGGAGGCAACGTAGGCAAATGACAAAACTAAAATAAATTATTTATTATTCCCCTAAAAAAACGGTATAAGAAAAAGGGGTGATTCAAATTAGCAAAAAGTATGTGTCATTTCAAAAGAAACTTCAAAAGAAATGTAAAACAAGGAGGCAATTCCCCCTCATTTCACGACAAGTTTGTGGCTCCCGTCGACAAGTTTGTGGCTCCCGTCGACAAGTTTGTGGCTCCCGTCGACAAGTTTGTGGCTCCCGTCGACAAGTTTGTGGCTCCCGTCGCCCACATAGTAAATGGTGCATGACGTGAGTACGAGAGAGTCACAGAACTGAGCTCACCAGCAGAGTGTAGGACTGGACCTGGAACTGTAGCACCGTCTGTTTCTCCTGCCGGGACGCCCGCGTCACCTGGTACCAACCCCGGAAAACACTGTCCAGAGGAAGAAAAAAGGTTGGTTTTGGGTTTGGTTATGGGTTTGGTTTTTTAAATTAAGGGAATAAACAGTAAAAGTTTAACTTATAACCCCCCCGTCCCCAAACGTCTTTATGTAACACGACGATAACAACCCATTGTGTCCAGTTTCTGTATAACCTTTTGTATCTTGACAGATGATCCTATAGCACAGCATAATAAAACTTTGCTTTGGCAGCAAACAAAGAAGAAATAGATTGTCAAAGTGCAACTCTCCTCCCGTCAGATTTTGACTTTCTTGGTGTGCTCGACAAGGTAAGACATCATAGCTGTGTACCCCCGTTGTGACCACCATATAATGACTTGGTGGTTGGACATAAGGTCAAGCAATTTGAATGGGATGTTTTAACTTTACTCTTACAAAAAGAAAAATATCCTAGTAAAGCAGATCAGGAAATAGATAAGACTTCCAGATGTTGCACAATATTCGTACCATGATGCGTTATGTACCTGATTGCTCATACTCACACATGAGTGCTGACACACACACACACACACACACACACACACACACACACACACACACACACACACACACACACACACACACACACACACACACACAGACACACACACACATAAATGCACAACACACACGCACATAAACACACACACACATACACACATACACATAAATGCGCAACGCACAACCCCCCCCCCCCCCCCACACACAAACACATTCACACAGTTAAATCAAAACTTGTATTTTTTCACAATTTCTATCTACTCATCACTCTTATAGATCTCACTCCTACCTGAGCATGACTTTAGTCCTGTGTGTGCTGTGAAGAGCTTGCATTTTGAGCGTCAGGCTGCGCCAGCGTGAGAATGAGGTTCCCAGGTTACGCACAGACATCTGTTGCATGAACAACGTCTGACTCGACCGCAGTTTTTGGTTCACTGTCGGGGAAGGCAATATTGTGGTTACAACTCTGTTTGAGTTCAAATGTCTTGCTAGGTGCAAGATAAGTTGTTGCAAAAATGTGTCGCAGCGTGGTGAAATCAGGCGCTCATCAAAATAATTACATCAGAGAAATCGGCCTTTTTCTGCTGGTTTTCAATTGTTTTCAATTTTTTGTTTTCTGGTCCAACACCTTTTTTATCTATTGAAAAACACATTTCTGTGAAGATTTCAATTGAATAAAGTTAATTAAAAAAGAAAAAAAAAAAGAAAAAATTATTTGTTTCCAAGGTCTCTCAAGCTATGTAAGACACCAGACTTTGGCAGCCATTTTTTCGCTAATTTTACCTCTGGAATCAGGCGACCCCCATCTCCTTCAATTGTAAATATCTCAACTTCTATTCAAGATAGATGGGTAATTTTTAATCTCAAGGAAGAAAAATAAACAAGCTTTATAATGTTACCAATAATTCCATATATTTCCAAAAATTGACGAGCACCTGATTTCACCACGATGCATCCCAAATAATATTAAAAACTCAGCTTAATCCAGCTCACGTGTTTGTTTGTTTGCTTGTTTCTTTGTTAGAGCAGAGAAAACACATCGACAGGTAAATTTCTCATGTTGAGGCCTTTAAACAAACTCTTTGCGATTTTCTCATATTTATTCAATATTTATTTTTGCCTTTATATATATAGCAATAATGGTGATGGGCATAAACAAGCCAGCTTCAAAATTTGTTAAAACCTAATATTTAACATAAGCTGTTAAAATGAGGACAATATCATTATCTCAATAGATGGTGTAAAAATTCCTATTTATAGAAATCAAACATCAACATGAAACCAGAGCAGAGTTGAAGTGGTGTGGTCTCCGATTGTTTATTTAACCATATCTGTACACCCTGGAGTCATTTTGTACCACAAAGGTTGTATCCTTCACATTTTAGAATACTTCTAGTACGAAGATCTCTTTGAAACTTTCAGTATTTCTCAAAAAATCATCAGACTGCTATGCAAAGCGTACGGATCGGATTAACAAGTAAATTTCCTCTTTGGAAAGTGATGGCACAGAGTTCCCCACGTCATATGGATATGATAGCAAAACACGACGTACGGATAGGGTTAAGTGTGGCACAGAGTTCCCCAAGTCGTGTGAATACAATAGTAAAACACGACATACAGATAGCGTTAAACAGTTGTTAGCCTCTCCTGTAAAACAGACTTCATGGGAGACAACAAGTCAAAGCCTAACAGGATGGACAAGTTCCTTACTCTTCGCCCACACGCTCCACTCGCGCAGAATGAGCAGCTGATAGTTACTCCAGGCCAGATGGTATTTTTTCTCCACCTCCCTGCTCTGATGAAGTCTGTCCAGCCAAAAACTGAACACCTATAAATAGAGCAAAGGGAAAAATAATGTAACGTTATCATTGACTACAATGCACATGTATAACACAATAATTATTCAGCTCCATAAATACAAGAAAATAATTAAGAAGATATAGTAATAAATAAAATGGGGAAAATAAAAAATACTACTACTCATTACAAAAATTATTTTTTTTTAATTAACTAAGTATGAACGTAAGAAGATATAGAATTAATACAAGTGAGAAAAAAATATATCGTTATTGATCTGTAATGCACAAAAATATAGGAAAAAAACCAACTAAAATGACCACTTATGCCTAGGAAAAAGCATATGACCGTTAAAATGCGTAAAGCTCAGCTGAAGTTCCTTTTTTTTCCCTGAACACATATTTAATATTAATGATTGGGGCCTAGACCTATATTTCATTCTATATATTTTGATGCTCCTTGTTTGAAGTATGTTGGTAAAACAGGACTCAGCATCTAAAACAGACAAGTATAAAGTAGAACCTACAAGTTTCACCCTCTGACCATGCACTAACATTACGACAAATTGTTTAAATAATTTTTAGCATCTGCCTGAACAATAAAGAAAGAAGTGCGGCTCTAGTGGCCTAGAGGTTAAGGTCTATCATTGAAAGGTCTCAGGTTCGAATCCGGGGAGCGATGGAAAAATTTTCTTCTCTAAAATTGTCTCCTTTAGCAATGTTCAGTCGTCTGCTTTCATCTCCACTTTCTGCAACCACCTCTTTGCCCCCTCCTCTGGGCTCCTGACTCTTTCTGCAGCCTTTCTACTGCTACTGCTAGGCTCTTCCTTACTGCTGTCTTTCAGGCACAACCCTGATCTTCTGGTAGGAAAGATCTACACCTAGTCTTCTCGGATAAGGGCGAAAAATCTCAAAGGTCCCCTGTGCAAGTTGGGCAGGATAAAGATCCCTTGGTGGTCCACAATCGTTAAGAGTAGGCTTCGGTCACCACCCGCGCAAAATTCAAAATTTCCTACCAACTGAAAATGCTTAATGTGTCATATGACCTTACGCAGTTGCGAGCGCTGTAAAACACACAAAAAAATTTTTAAAACAAAGAAGATTGTAACCAGACCTACCAATTTTTCTCTCCTCCGCTTCAAGAACGACTGTGACTTAGACATCAGTTCATGCCTCTCCGTGGCCCAGTTCCTCCACGCAGTCCAAACCCTGCAGGGACAAGAGATCAATTACGATTTTTTAAAAACAAGTGAAAGTTTAGTTTTGATAAGAGCCTTATGGTGCTTGCAATACAAATATAGGTCAATTAAGTGCTGAAGATTAAAAGTGTTAAAAGAGAGTAACATACAAAGAAAACAAAGAGAGATAAGGACGATAGATGTTTGATAGGAAAGAAGGAGAAAACCACAACAGAGTACCTGCCAACCACCCACATTCCCACCATGCGCTGTTTAATTTTTAATTTTTTTTTAAACATAATAAACTGTTCAATAATACTGTCCAAAATGACCATGCAAATCTCTCATCATCCAATACATTGCCATAAATTAATCATTAAACAACAACAGCTACTACTACTACAACTGACCATGAGAGAAGACTGCGGTGATAAACGGCCCGGAGCCTGGCCACCGTCTGGTAGCGCACTGACCACAGCGAGAAACACACAGACAGCGACCTCTGACCTAGCGATGCGGTCAGCTCAGTCTCCAGGGGCAGTAACTCCAATTCCCGCACTGTCCTTGAACTCCAAAGGTGAAGGATATTCTTCTCTTGTCGTTGGTCTCGGGTCTGTAAAAGTACAAATGAGAGGCATGCTGATAAAATGAGTTACTTCTCGCGATGTGTCCGTCCCCCCGCCACACACAAACGCACTCACACACACACACACACACACACACACACGCACAGACAAACAAACACACACACACACACACATACACACACACAAACATACAAACACACACACACACATGCACAGACAAACACACACACACACACACCCATACCTTTCTGAGCCAGACAGGAAAACACTTGTGGAAAGCGACCATCGTGGCGTGCCGGTGAGCCAGGGCAGAGAGAAGCTTCTTGTAGCGCTGATGGTCTTTGTACAGACGAATGGCCTCCATACACTTGCCCAGCATCTGTTGGCTCTGGAACAGACAGAGTAAAACAAAATTATCTGTTAGTATTGCATTTCTAGCTATGTTTTTTTTTAAACTCTTTATCTCCGGCAAGTCGCTCCCAGCGGCTTACAGTCGGAACCACTGTGCCGGTGAACCTCTGACAGTGTGTCGAGCCCGTTCCTTTATGATGACTTCGATATCAAATTATTTTTCAGCAATTGCCGAAAACAGGTCTTCTTTCTTGGGAGTTCATTCATTAGATGAAGAATTATCAAAATAGGTCGACTTGTTTTGAAATAATGACCTATTTAGTGATGTTTTTGCCTTTTTTAGATTTCTTACTAAAAAAGGGCCCCAGCGTAGTGGGTTTCCCCCAGGGGAGATAAAGAGTTAATTAGGGGGTTGTGGGTTTGGAGGGATAGAGGAAAGGGGGTTCCTTGGTAGTTATTATTTTTTTTCCAGGAGGGTGGTCTGTTGGGGTTTTCTTTTTCTTTCTTATTTCGAAACAAAAATCCCAAGGATGAAACCTTGAGGGAATCGACTTTATCATCAGTGGAAAATGTTTTGTTTCTATTTTTGTTTTTGTCTGCTTTTTGTAATGGGTTTTTTTTCCAGATACAAAAATCTCCTAACAAGATGTTGGGTAACTTCTTTTTTTTTTTTTTGTTGGGGGGGGGGGGGGGGGGGGGTAAAGCTTTTTTGTCTTTTTCAGCTTTAAAAATGTACCGAACAGAATCAAATTCAGGTGCTTAACATGGTCTCCAATAAAAATATAACTCTGTGCTTTTAGTTTGAGTTTCATCGCTTTGTTTCATTATGTTAAAAAGAAGAAGAAAAAAAAGAAGAATTATTACTATTACTATTATCATTATTATTATTATTATCATTATTATTTTTTTTTCTATTTTTATTAATATTATTTTTATTATTATTATTTGTTTTAAAAATATTATTATTCCTTAACTCTTTATCTCTGGCAAGCCGCTCCCAGCGACCCTGGCGTCGGTGGTCTAGTGGTTAGGCTACCGGACTCGTAATCGTGAGATTGCCAGTTCGGGGGTTCGAGCCTCAGCTCGGTCCGATGTTGTGTCCTTGGGAAAGGCACTTTACACGAACTTCCCACTTGGCTCGGTCCTATTGGAGACGGACGTTAAACTAGCATTGATAGGGGCGTTAAAGCCATACCATTTTCACCAGCGGCCCGCGGTCAAAACTGCCGTTCCGGTGAGCCGCTAGCAGCTCGGGCACATTCCTTTACAATAACTTCGACGTCAATTTACTTTTTGGCAATTGCCAAAAACAGGTCTCTTTTACCGGAAGTTCATTTATTAGATGAAGAACTATCAATATAGGTTTGCTAGTTTCGATTTAATGGCTCATTTAATGATGTTTTTGTCATTTTTAGATTTAGCACCAAAAAAGGGCCGAGGTGTAGTGGGTTTACCCACCTCGGAGATAAAGAGTTAAATTTGACTAATTCTTCTGATAAAATTTCCATCCTGTGTTAGAAATAAAAACATTTAAAGAGATGAAAAGAGAAACTAATCAATTGAGGCCAAACCCAGGTCAGACACGATGCAAAACTGTAGCTCACCCAATGCCTCGCTGCCTTCCTCGTAGCATCGCAGCCTCGGCACCACTCTCTGAAGGCCAGCCTCATCTCCGTGGTGGTGTGTAGATGGCTGGCTGCGAGGGCTAAGCTCTTGAGCTCCTTCTGCCGGGCGGTGAACTCGAGCCACTGCTGGAAGGCCACACAGGTTGGCCAGTTCTGGAGGCGTGTGATGGCTGCCTGTACTGTGTCCTGGTGGAGAATAACGACGATGTTTTAGGAAGTTTTACGGCACTTGCAACACAGAAAAGTCATATATATATAAGTGTCGAAATGAGAACTGGTGGAAAATCGCCCAAGATGGAAATTGTATCTACCCATAATCGCACCAGCAGACAACCCAGATCCGTTCTATTGAGCCTGCAAAGAGGAGTACGAGACTATATGGACCACATATTCCTGAAATTCCCGCAAACTATCGTTCCAGAACATGTCTGCTGGGACATTTCAAGGACCCCCAAGCCAGTATTGAGTTCTTGCGTGCTGTCGGCATCGCTGACCACTTATGACATCACAGTGTCAGAGGTATAAATGAGCTTGACTTTAGAAGTGGAAAAAAAGTCATGAAATTCTTGATCATCGTTGTGAAAGAAAGAAAGAAAGAAAGAAAGAAAGACAGAAAGAAAGAAAGAAAAAAAGAAAGAAAGAAAGAAAGAAAGAAAGAAAGAAAGACAGACTGAGTTTTGCGCAAGAGAAGAACATTGATACAATAATGCCCATCTTGTTGAAGGGAAAAAGCAAAAAAGACAGACAAAAACAGCAATTAAGTAAAAGAAAGGAGTAAGATCTGCCAGCTGTGCCCTCTTACAACAACAACAAAAAAAGAATTGGATAAAAAAGGAAACGTACAATAGCTTGAATTCCAGGACAGACACATTCTCTATTTCCCCCCCCCCCCCTCCCCAAATCAAATCACATTTTGTACTCCCCCCCACCTCCCCAAATCAAATCACATTCTCTACTCCCCTCCCCCCCCCCCCTCCCCAAATCAAATCACATTCTCTACCCCCTCCCCAAATCAAATCCTATCTCTTCCTAAATGTCTCCACCCCTGTGAGCGAGAGAACAACTGACCTTGAGCCGTGCACACCTGGCCTGGTGTTCATCCATGGCCGCTTGGAGCCCCCCACACAGCAAGGCCTGTCTGTCCGTGTCCCCCTCCAAATAGCCGCTGCCCTCGCTCTCACCAAACAACCTGCAATTGTTAGGTTGTAAATGTTTTACATCCATATCAACAAAATTTAGGTCATCTAGGAGGTGTGCTGCTTCCTCCCTGCCAGTGTATCAGGGCCAACCCTGGGTTCAGTAAAATGGCATTTTCTCAGCAGATAGACTGAGATCGTACTCAAATTAAAAAAAACAACAAAAAACTATCCCTTCTCAGGAATTGAACTCATGTCTTCTGTATGTGGCAGGTCTCAGCTTAACCACTCTACCAAAGACACGGGTCCAAACAGCTCAAGAAACACAACAGAGACAAATTAAATTGTCAACGTAACTGACACAAGCATCAACCTGTGGAAGAAGTAAGTGTTATTCCTCAAAAGTTCTGAAGTTTTTTCAGGCTATTTTATTCTAGGCTTCATACAATTAGTTGACATTTCTCAAATGATTGAAAACTCCAGCCTCTTGTAGCTCAGTAAGTTATTCATAATGTAATATACATCCCGCTTTTTGGTTTTTGTTATGAATAATTGGTCCCTTTTAAGCACAAGGGGGCTCTCCCGAAAGACACTGTTTTGAAAAAATCAAAGGTTAAGTTTTTGGACCTCGTTCATTTTCTTTAAAATACAAGGATAGTTTTCTCTGTAACCAAAGAAATATACACATCTATGAAACCAAACTTCTCCTATAGGTAAGGCAATACCCACTTTCGGTGTAGGTCAAGATTTTTGGAAACTCCCAGAATCTGGGTTAGCCCGCTTGTCCTTTTAAAAGCGACCAATTAAATCCAGTGGTACTAAGAAGTGTGTTTTTCTATAGACAGGCTTTAGTGCCACTTGAATTATTTCCTAAAAAACTATTTAAAAAGCAACAAAAAAACAAACCCAAACCTGGAGTAAACCATGTATTTCACTGTATCAGTTAAAAGCTGTTTTATTTTGAGAATACAAACGAAGTCATTAGGGTACAATTTTTTAAAATAACAACAAAAAGTCGAGTCTTCCCCTCAAGTAATGAATAACCAACACCAAACCCCTTCCCCCTATAGCCTGCCACCATTTATTTTCAGAAAAAAACAAAGAAAACAAAAGAAACAAAAGAAACAAAAAACAATAGACTGGCAAAGCAGTAGCCACACAAGGCCATAATATAATAATATCATATAGCACTAGCTGTTGATTAGTACAAAGACAGAGGGGAAAACTGCTACAGAAACAGGATACATCCTGAAGGTAAAAAGTAAAGTTGTTCCCGCATCCGATCAGGACATTGGGGATTGCCTTGTTAGTGAGACAACTTCCTGGGCCTTCAGTATAATGTGGTAGGGCGGCCAGTTCCTTTCCACGCCGCCTTTACTTCCCCAACTCAAAGTCAGGTAGCCATTACTGCTGGGTGGGCAGGAAGGGGTGAAAAAAATCAGTGTCCAAACCGAGGTTCGAACTCAGACTTTCCGCTTCGGAGACGAGCGCACTAACCGCTCCGCCACCGCACCTTCATCCTGAAGGTAAATTTACTTATTTGATTGTTTTGTTTGTTTGAATAAAGAGAAGCACATCAACGCGATAACACTCGAGTGAATTGTGCAGGGAAAAACCCTAGACAGACAGAGAGAAACAGTGGCAGGGAAAGAGAAGTAGAACATACAGTGGCGCACTCTAACCTCCCCTGAAATCTGATAGAGAGATAAAGACAAGGTGATGCAGCAAAACTATACGTTGTAAAAAGTATCATAGCAACCAAAAGCCTCACTAGGATGTATGTATAATATTATGCACGTATAAAATGTTATATCATTTCTCTCCTAAAAATATATAATGGCTAAAGTCTGGAGGAAGAGAAGTTAAAAAAAATACTGTAATACTGTAAGGTCTCATTGAACAATACCTCTGATAGGAGAAATGCAAATATTTTAAAGCGTCAAAATAAAGAAGGCATAAAAATTTGATAATGTAAATATTTACACAAGAGGCAAGGACTGCCTCTAAAATAACCTTAGAGTGTGTTGAAGGGAGGCCATTAAACCCATAATGTCCAAGACAAGAGTCAAAAAGCTACACTTACACAAAGCAAGAACTTAAGATATTGTTATAGACTGTAAGTGAAAGAGAAATACTGGCCTCCCCCCCCCCCCAAAAAAAAAAACCAAAAAAAAGAAACAAGGACAGGCAAAACACAGGGGAAAGTCTAATAATTAGATGAGATATTTTTCACATTATTTCTTAAATTTGATGGAAAAATACCTTTTCAAAAGTCATTGAAATAAGACAAAGTTAGTTTCAAAGGCAAAGTTCCCACTTCAGACAGGTAAACTACAAAGACAGCGAAGTTCTAATCAGAAGTCATGCCATGTATGGAGGCACGATGAAAATGGAGAACACTGCTACTGGTACAAAATAGTTTTAGAATCTACTGCATAATACACAATATATTATAGAACTACAATAACAACAAATATAAACTTTGATATGCTTGTTGTCAATGAAAGGGCGTAATAATAATATCATAGATATGAGGAATGGTCTAGAGAGTTGTGAGCTGCAGGTATATTGTAGGCTATGCTGCAAGCAGTGGTACGAAAGCAAAACAACAACCACATATTATGCTGCAAGCCAAGCTACAAGAAATCAAATTTTTTAACGAAAAGAAAATCAAAGCAAAAAATTAAAACAAAAACATAAAAATGCACTATTCAAGCCAATCTACTCACTCCGCTAACATTTGCCTGAAATAAAACAGCGAAGAAAAAACGATGGAAAAAAAGATCTAGAGCTGCTGAACAACAGTAAAAAAAATCGAGGTGAAAGCACAGTAGAGCCCTCTACATCTTTGCACATCATAATGATCACAGCCTGGTGTTTCTTTTTTAAATTTTAATTTAGTTTTTTTTTCTGCCCTCTTAAACATAATTTAGACCATTTAGGAGGTGGGCTTTCAACCCTGCCTGTCAGGGCCAACCCAGGTGGAGAGAGATACAACATCCCAGCAGACAGACCAAAACACTCAATAAAAATTCTCCGCATTCAGGAATCGAACTCTAGTCTCCTGCATATGACAGTGAAGCACCTAACCCACTTCTCCACAGACGCTAGTCGGATCCTGTGTTTTGTGTTCCTGAAAGATATGACTGTGAACCCCACTTGAGCTACCTAGGGTATTGCACACTCAATCCAAATGTTCTGGTGGTTGTGTTGGGGTTGGGAAGGGTTTTAGTTTTTTTACAAAATGTCTGCTTTTCTGGGTGGACAGTAGAACAATAGAGTATCTCATAAATCTACACCTACAGGTACATAGTAAACCTCCGCTAAATGCCGTGAAAAAGAAAAAGACACCAGTTAAAGCGTTTGAGAAAATCTAGGCATCACTATCAATAAATAAATTTTCATTTGTTTTGATTTTGATCATAGAAAAGAACCTTGAGCCACACATGCAAGAAACCATACAAAATAACTTTAAAGATTTTATTATTATCATGATTATTATTATGATCATTGTTAGGACGATGATGACGATGATGATGATGATGATGAGTATTATTACTTTTATTATTGTTATTATTATTACTTTTTCAAGCAGCTGACGCTGAATGAATAACCATATCAATATTACGTTATACTTGATTGTTCCAATGTGTACGTAAAAACTCCAACATTTCAAAAGATTTAATCCTTGTCGTACATTAGCAGATCAAAGTAAAAGACACAACGAATGTGTTGGATAATCACTATGCTGATGAAAGGGGACAGGATTGGCAAGTTAAATAAAATGCTCCACCTTAGGGTGATATTCCGGGTTCTCAAGATTCCTAGAGCTAAAGCAAAACCGGATTTAACTCACGAGTGAGGGGTTATCAAAGTCTGAAGCAGAAGCCACGCCTTCGAGTGGATCAAGGAGTGTGCTTTTTTCTGTTTAAACAGCGGGTCTTTGGAGGGCGTCACTGGTAGGTCCGACTTCTTTACTTTCCTTCTGTTGTTTCTTTCTGTCTGTCTGTCTGTCTTATTTTCCCCAGCACTAAAATGACCACTGCTGTGTCAATATGCTGCTCTTTACTCACAAACCAACTGTTTAAACAGAGTGTGGGAAAATTTAGATTGATCACACTGGAACAATGTGTGGGAAGCCGTTCTGAAATTTTCTCATGACTTTTTTTTAAATCTAGAAATGATTAATTGTAAAGGTCTGAAAATGACCCCACCCCACCCCCTCCCCCAC